CACAATTGGTGTGAAATATATCAAGGAAATGTACTGTGGGAGAAAGAAGTTGAGTAGGTCTTTTAGCAAGCGTGAGAGAGATGTAGAACCAGAGTTCTATGCTCCTATTCATGAAGTGTTTAAAAGCCTAGAGGAAGGGCCCTGGTATGTTGAGTACGTTGAGTACATCTACTATGGGGAATTTCTGGGAAGTCATGGATGAGAACTACATGGGACCGGATGCAATCAATATTGTTCAAGGAATCCACGCGTTAATTAGGTCACGGATGCATTGAATATGGCCAAAAGAAAGCAAATTAATATTGTGTTACAAAGAGTAAGTTAGCATACTATAGTAGAAAAAACACTGAATGTTTTCATTAAAAGTCCTGGGATTTGAATCCTAGCTCTAGAGGAATATGACTTTGGGAAATGCATTTTCTTCCCTTTTTTGCCTCAGTTTCCTCATCTGTGAAATTAGAGGATTGGAGAAGGTGGTCTCTCAAAGCTGTTTTTGCTCTACATTCTGAGACAGGAGCTCATTCTGTTTCTTAGATGAGGGGCCATGAAATCCTTCAGGACCATTTCCCTCTTTTCTTACCTTCCATAACAGAAGCAGAAGTTTAGACTATGCAGGGGTGGTTCTTGGTTAGGAGGCGAGTCGATGGACCAGTTGGGAGGACGGAAGTGGTGACAACTGTATTCACATCACAGCACAGCAGGATTTGGAATTAATTCATTCAACAAATAGTGTAGAGAAACAGAGTATGACGGGTGAAAAGATCCTTAGAGATGTAACTAACTCCATCCTTCAAGTGACCTGTCCAAGGTGCACAGTTGATTAGTAGCAGAACCTAAGAACTCAATACTTATTGTGTGAATTATTTGAAACATCTATAACTATTGGATATTTTCCTTCTTTTTGAGTGGATTTTAAATTTATGGTGTTTTTTAAATTAAGTACTGTCAAACTTCACTAATTTATACTCTTTGGAAGACTAGGCTGAATAAGTGAAAAATAGGAATTCTAGAATGCAAAGAAATTGAAATTTAATACTTCCAAATATAAGCAAGGCTAGCTAAATTCAACTCAGTAGGAATAATCTGGGTTTCTGCATTACTAAGTGGATAGGAATTGGACGTTTAGAAAGTTTGTTTTCATAAGCAGCTGGGTTGTGCTCTGTGCAGTATTTTTTATGTTTGCAATTCGCATCAACACCTTTTCTTAGAAGAAGGGACAAAAGACCCTTGGGCCCAGCCTGATGTCTGGATTATCAGAAATACTGAATTAATGGGGCTAGAACAGGGGTCCCCAGATAGTGCATAAAATAATTCTGTTAGGTCCTGGAGGTTCATCTGGAGGACTTTCAAAGTCCTTTGCCATCCCCATCTCTCCCTCTCAACCATATCTGTCTCCTGTTGTTGGTTTGGGTTCTGAGCAGGAAAGAAACCTTATAGACTGTAGGGTCTATTTCCTTACTCAAAAACTCAACCATCAGCATATTCTCTGCTTCCTAATTCCCCTGAAACTCTTTCTCTTCCCCTTCTAATCTCTAAATATTGCAAGCCTCAGCAGCCAGTAGGGGATAAAACAGAGACAGGATTGGTGATTTCCTTAGTACCAGGAATTTGGAGGTGAGGAAACTCCCTCAGCTAAATTAGGGCAGTATCTTCTCTGCAACGTGGAATTGCCTTGTATCCTGAGAAGCTGACTTGACCAGGGTCCTACAGCCAGAATACATCCAAGGAAGGGCTTGAATCCAGGTCCTCTGTCTTTGAGGCCAGTTCCCTATCCACTATACAGCACTGCCTCTCAGTGGCAAGCAGTAATAAATGGAAGCACTCCTAGATTAAAAAAAATAATAATAACCATCTATATAAGTCCATTATTTGTGTGGCAAAATCTAAGCACAAGTGGATAGAGAGCTGGTCCTGGAATCAGGAAGATCCAAGTTCAGATCCAGTCTAAGACAACTTACTAGCTGTGTGACCTTGGTCAAGTCACTTACCCTCTGTTTGCTTCAGTTTTCTCATCTATAAAATGGGGATCATAACAGTATCTGCCTCCCAGGGTTGTTGTGAGGATCTAATGAGATAATAATTGTAAAGCCCTTAGCTCAGTGCTAGGCACATAGTAAGTGCAATATAAATGCTAGCTATTCTTATTTGTATTATGTCATCGTCATCATAATTATGATTATTGTCATTAAGCAGGACCTACTCACCAAATAAGGTTATCCATGGATCATTCACATACCCGTAGTAAGCACACTGAGTTCTTTTGTTCTGCTTCTGAGACCTATTGTTCCACCCATTTCTGAGACCATGGGCAAGTCACTTACTTGTATTCAAAAAGACTTGTAATTATTGCTGCTCACTATTTCTACGGCCCCAGAATGTAAACAGAAAGAACTACAGCAGCTCCATTGAGGTTCTACTTCAGGCTCTTTTTTCTTCCTCTTCCTCCTTAAGTTAATAAACAACCCTGTGTATTCTTCTTTGCCGTCTCATATATCTGTAGGCTGCTCATCTAATAAATGGTCTTGTCTCTCTCCTGTCATATATTTACTTGTGAACAACCTTAGAGTTTAAGTACCTCCCTGGAAGGAAGGAATTGTGATATCAATTATGTATGAATTGGCACCTAGAACAGCACAGGGCTGAGTCCTACTCCTTGTATAATGATGTTGCTGAATCTCCTTCCTCCTCACAAAACTGGGATTCCTTTTTGTGTCAACAGTCAAGAAAACTATGGTATCCTCAGAATGATGTTTCTAAGTGCACAAAATAACTTATGTAGGAAAGTGTACAAAGAAAGCCTCTACTATTACACTAGTCATATATAGATACAAACATACACATATATACATATTGTATACATACATACACGCACATAGATGTTTTTGTTATTGTTTGTTTGTTTTACTCACATCTGACTCTTCATGACCCCATTTGGGTTTTTCTTGGCAAAGATACTAGAGTGGTTTGCTATATCCTTCTCCAGCTCATTTTACAGATGAGGAAAATGAGGTATACAGGGTTAAGTGACTTGCCCAGAGGTTGGATTTAAATTTGGGAAGATGAGTCTTCCTGACTCTATGACTGGCACTCGGTCTACTGGCCCACTTACGTGTCCTATATATACACATATAAACTATGTAAACACAATTATATGTTATGTAATCATATGTAATATATGTATATACCCACATACATGCAAATGTTTACAAGTTCATGGACCCCAGATTAAGAACCACCCACTCTAAAATGATACTGTCAGAGATTTGGGATTCCTTTATCAGTGCCCATTGCAATCTCTCCACACCTTTGTAAGTAGACATCATGAGTTGGCATGGCCAGAACATTTCACCACAGTGTTGCCATCCTTTTTGTGAAGAGTATCTCCTCTATCTTGGACAATCCTCAACTGCCAGTGTGAATCTAGGTCCATCTTCAAAGCCTTTTCATAAGCCCTTCCAGAGTTTGTATTCCACTAACACAGTCTTAAAGCATCCAGCATTCTCCTATGCTCCAGTAAGGCATCAAAATCAGACGTTTCTGAAGGTACTAAAGGGAGCTGTTACCAAAACCAAAACAAAACAAAGCAAAAAACCAAAAAATTTCCAAGGAGAGAGAGGAATACCTGTAATTGATTGTGCACACTTCTACTTCTGTCTGTATGTATTACCTCTCTTTTTTGGTAAACAATCACCAGGGAAAACTGTTGGGTTAATTGATGTATATATAGCATGCTCAATACTCAATGGCCTGTGATATATTCTGTCCAGCTCATCTGGAACAATGACCAAAAAAAAAAAAGAGAACCTTGGAAAGTAACTTCAAAAAGTATTACTTGTAGGACAATAAGGGAAAGTTACTGTCCAACTGAGACACCTATATAAATTTTATTGTTTCTACAATTGCCACTTAAATCAATAGATTTTTTAAACAATTTTACATTTTTAAAATTTTGAACTTAAACAGCCCCCAAAGAACATTTCCATGCACACAGCAAATCATAAAAAGAAGATTCTATATGAAACTGTGAGTCTCCATTCATACCACTGAGTTTTTTTAAAGGATTTAATAATTCTCCACATCATTTAAAAATTGTCCTGCTTATCTGTGCTTCCTTTTGAACTTCTTTTATTTGCTTATCTGCATTTTTAGAAATGTTACAATGGCTGCCTTTTTTTAACCACATTTTTTAACCTTTTTTTAAACTCCTCTTCCCTTTTTATTTCCCCTCCTTAATTAACAGTGGGTAAAAAAGGGAGCCCGAGAAGGGCTGTTACAAATGAACATAGTCTAGCAAAATGAAGCCACAGAGTGGCAATGTCTAAAACTGTGTCTCTGCACCTTGTATCTATCACCTTCTGTCAGAAGGTATGTTAACGTGCTTCAAGTAAGGTACCATAGCTGAGACACAGCCCTCTATTGTTCTGATGATTCTGATTTGTGAAATTCACTCTGAAGTGCTACTAATTTTTATACTCAGTGACTTGGCCTTTCTTAAACTGAGAGGCATAATGGATCAAGAGCCAGCCTTGGAGCTAGGAAGACCTGAGTTTGAGTGCTATGTCTGATACATGACAGCTTTGTTCCCTTGGCAAGCTGCTCAACTTCCCAGTGTTCTAGACAACTGTGTAAGATTGTGTGCTGCAAAGAAGGCACCAACTTGCATTCGTAGAGGGAGTTTTCTTACCAAGGAGCTCCCACTACGAATGAAATCACAGGTCCATCCCCTATCCCTGTTCCTAACTCATTTTCGCCCTGTTCTCTTTGGGTATCCCATTGCATCTACTACTTGCCATTTTGGAAAGTCTTGCATCACCTTTGGTCCGGAGTAATGTTCGTCTAACCTGTTGAAAAGCAAAAGAAAAGATACCTGTTTATTGCTAAATAATGACACCAGCTTCTTTCCCTAGAATGTGTCCTGCCTCTTACCTAGTCATCTAAATAACTTTATTAACTTTGATCATTTGAAAAATAAAACCTAATAATTCATTATTTCTTCACAGAAAATCATTCCGCACCTCCTGATGTTACCACGTACACCTCAGAACACTCAATACAAGTTGAAAGACCTCAAGGCTCAACATCATCACGGACAGCACCAAAGTATGGAAATGCTGAACTCATGGAGACTGGGGACGGTATGTCTTGTAGCTTTCGCCCCTTTCTTCTCTCCCTTCTCTCCCTTCGAGTTTTGATCTGCATTAACCCATCTTTCCACTCCCATAATTTGTGTGCTATAGACATCTGTTCCTTGTTTCTTCTGGCCATATTTCACTCAGAAATGCATCCACAGCCCAGTTTGAAGGATCCTTTTGAACCCCTCAAATAAGGTGGCATATGGAAAGCAAATGACAACCTCCAAGAAGTGTTCATCAATGGGATATGATTTCTTAGAGGAGGGAAAAGGTGAAATTTGAGGAAGTTGGGATATGAAGAGAAGAAAGGAGACTATGAAGACATTGAGATTTTCCCAGATGTGTAACCAGGGTGGAGGCAGAGATTAGAACATGTGGACTGAGACCTCAGATGAGGACCAGAAAGGTCAAAGTGAAGTTAAGTGGGAAACAAAAGAATGGACAGAAGGCCTCTTGAAAAGAAGGTGTCTGGGACTCAGAAAGAGAAAAGGCTGTAACAAAAATCAGCCTAGCTGAGGTCAAAGAAACCACCAGTTAAGTGCTGCAGAATTTTCTTCTTGGGATGTTGTCAGGTGTTGGGGCCTTTTTCAGTTGGTGAGAGTGGGATCCAGTAGAGAGCAGTTGGGTCCCAGCATCCCATGGATCCAGGTCTTGAGTTTATTTTTCTACTTCCTCAAGCCCTGGTCCTTTCAGGTAACACCTGGGCTACATTGACAGACCAAGGGTTTAATTTTCTAGATGAATGTCACACAAAACTTGGAGGGTAGAGTTTTTCAACACACTGACCTGGGGCCTGTGTAGTGTGGTAATAGATTAACCATGGAAGCAATCACTCTGGTCTTTCTGTTCGTAAAAATAGCCTCCCACAAGTTACCTAAACTACCTAATTCTTGTTTCCTTTATTGGTAAGATGAAGAAAACAGTAACTCCTGGGGTACCCTAAGAATAAAATGATGAAGTGTTTGGGGAAATTAATTGGAAAAGTAATTAAGCATTTGGAAAAAGGGATTGTAAATTTATTAAGTTTGGGACCACTTGGGATGTATTTTGTTTTGCAGGTGACAGGCTTGAAATTGATAACCCCACTAAATGTGGGTACCAAAGGCATCAATTTTAAGCTGCTAACAGTGATATCAGAGAGTAAGGGAGGGAACCACTGGCATTGGGCTCTTCTCTCTAATGAGAGAACTTATTACAGGGCATGGATGAATTTTTTTTGTGATTAAACAGACAGATGGATAAACATCAACCCCTATTGTGACCAATGACATGTTTTCTACAGGAACTGAGCATGCCAAAAATACTGCAAAATTAAAATTGTAAAGAAAATAATTTGGCATAAATTCATTATTTTAATGTTTATGTGCCAAATTGGTTAAGTACATTGCAATAATTCATTACTGAGTAAAAACATCTTAGTAGCAGTACAAGTATTGCCTGAATTAGGTTGAAAATAGATGCCTAATTAATGGGTGTGTGTGTGTGTGTGTATATATATATATATATATATATATATATATAATATATATATATATATATATATATATAATATATATATATATATATACATATATTAATATGTATATATATATATATATACATATATTAATATGTATGAAACTATTCCACATGCTAAGAGGACATGGTTCAGTAATAGCACTGGTTTTGGATTTGGAGAAACAGTTCAAATCTTGGCTCTACTTCATGAGTTGCATGACCTTTGGCAAGACACTTCGATTGTCTTAGTTTCAACTTCCACTTCTATAACAGAAAAGGGTTTGCCTAGGTGAGTGGTTCTTAACTGTGAGACAAGAACTTATTTTTTTTTTGATAACCATATTTCAGTACAGTTGGTTTCATTTGTACTCCTGTATACTTTACCCCTCTGCATTTAAAAACATTATCCTAAAGGTCCACTGGTTTCAACAGATTGCCAAAGTGGTCCACAACAAATAAAAAGGTTAGGAGCCCTTGAGCTAATTGATCTCTAAATTCTCTTGTATGTAGTTCTAAATCTATGATAATCTCTGTCTTATTTTTTTATTGTCTATTTTGTTTTAATTCCTCTGCTAAATTTACTATTTATTCAGCTGATTTCTACTGTTTTCATTATTATTATTGCTCAGAGTTTTCTGTGTGCATTTTTTCAGTGATTCACTGACGAAGAGCCTGGTGGGATGACCCATGAGTCACTGGATACAGTTATGCCAATGTTTCTTGCTATTGTTTGGGGACACAGGCCTTATGTTTAAGGGAGATTTAGGGAGAGTTCTTGGTTATTAAAACTTCCTATCTTGAAAGGAGACTATGTGTGTGTTTGAAAACTACCAGAGGAAAAACTCTTTGAATAACGGTATTTTATTCTTGAATTTTGGCAACACGTACCTGAGAAACATGTGCCTAGTTCTGTGGAAAACAATATAAATTAATAGCATTCATTTTCTTTCTGTGATTATTAAGAAAAAGTACTTCTGCTTCAGCATCAAAATTCACATTCAGCCATAGGATGACTCAAACACACACTAACCCATTGAGAGGGATAGATAGATAGATAGATAGATAGATAGAGAGAGAGAGAGAGAGAGAGAGAGAGAGAGAGAAGAGAGAGAGAGAGAGAGAGATATGTATCTAGTCTCTTTTTACATGAATAACTTTTCTTTCAAAGTTAACATATTACTTCTATTCAGGTTCTTGAATGAGTGTGCTGGTCTCTCTGAGTTTAGGTAGACTTTATACTTTGATAGTAAAAAATACCACCACCTAAATATATGTTTGTGAGAATCTCAGCACTATTTCTTTAAATTTTCCTCCCCCTGCCATTTCAGCTGAAGATTTATCCTTTAAAAAAATCAACCACTAATTTTAATCTTTATATGCTTCTGTGGTTAACTTAGTAATCAAACGGGCTACCAGAATTTGCTGGATTGGCTATTCTTTGTTTAGGAAAGTCTAAGGCACAAGTGTAATAGAGTTCTACAAGTTTGGGGAGTATTTTTTTTTCTTAAAAAAAAAACAAACCCAAACAAACAAGGTACTTGGAAAATCCTACAATTTATTTTTTTCTACCCACCTATTGAAAACTAGTTTGAATCATCTTGGAAGCAAAAAATGAAACTTTTACAATGATTGTTGAAAGCATTGTTTGTAAAGTGCATGTTAAATTAATATGTGTTCTACCATCTCATATGGATGATATACAGAATGTAGTGGGAATGGCAGTGCTATGTTTAAGTAGCTTACAATTATATAAATCTTTAATGTTTAAAAAGCAGGTTACAGAATTCATTGTGTTTCATTCACATGAAATGCTATAAGGAAGATGCCGTAGGTATTAGCATCCCCATTTTGCAGAGGAGGAAATTGAATCTCACAGAGGATAAATAATTTGCCTACAATTTCCCACCTCATAAGTATTGGATATGGGTCCAAAGACCAAAGCCCAGCTCTTTCATGATGCCGTGACCTGTCTTTTTCCAGCGGGCAGCATTTCACCTCATTGGCAGAACATTGACAACAAAGTAACACTATACATATTAAATAATAGGGTCTTGGCCTGTGATTGCATTGATAAAGAAAACCCTCCTGGATGAGGGAACTCCTTCTACCAATACAGGCTGACACCTTCCTTGCTACTTGTAGTTTTAGACTTACCTGACTTACTCAAGGTGGCATAGCCACCATGTCAGAGGTGGGTCTTCCTGGCTTCAAGGCCTACTTTCTACTCTACCATGGTGCACAAGTTAAGGGTTGGGAATTGGGCCAAGGTCATCATTAGCAATGAAAATTTGATCACGGAATATTCCCCCTATAGAATCCACATAAAAAAGACATAAAATAGTATCATATAATAGAGTCAAGTCTCCTTCATCTTTATTTTTTTCTGTCTGGATATACACTTATTCAATTAAACACGTTTATTTCAGAAATCTGTTCTCTCAGTACCTTGGTTCAGGGTAGAGTGTCAGCCTATTTGTTTGTTGGTTTTTTTAATTTTCTAAACAACCCCAGATCTAGGACATCAAGCTCTTGTTTTATTGCCAGTTATTGCCATGTTTCCTTGTTTATACCCTGAGTTGCCTGGAAGCCATCTCATCTCTCCCGTGGTCCCTATTCTCCAGGAGTACCTGTGAGCAGCCGAGTGTCAGCAAAGATTCAACAGCTGGTCAATACCCTCAAACGGCCCAAACGACCTCCGTTACGAGAATTCTTTGTAGATGATTTTGAGGAATTGTTAGAAGGTAAAAAAAAACCCCAAACATTTATTTTTACTTTTTTGGCTTTTGGATGTTGTTGAAATGCTATAAACTGTAATAATATTGTTTCAACCAGAGCTATTATCTTTAAAAGAAGAACATCTCATTCCCTGAGATGATAAGACTTTAGCAAAGAAGGCTTAGATCAAATAAAGGTCTCTAATGATCACCTTGAGCAGTGAGCCAGATGCTTGGTGACTCAGGATAGTGATCCTAAATTGATTATTTGATGCATCACCCTTAGCAGACTGTGATTCTGTCATTAGAGCCAGGGCTGCTCTGAGACTACTGTAATGTTTCAGAGGGGGTGTGAAATTATGGGACATCCTAACTCACAGGAAAGAATGCTTCTCAGTTTGAGGGTATATTTCCAGAGTGAAACACGATGCTACCATTTTTCTCCTTTTCTTGTCCCAGGGCAAAAATGTGAGTGCCTGGCATCAAAAGAGTGGATGCTTTGGTTTTCTTAAAAAAAAAAAAGGCTAAAAATCAGAAGAAGTGATAGATGTATGTAGAAAAGGAAATCTGCGTATTGAAATGAAGTTGATCTTGAAGACGAAATCCATATGTTTATTCAATTGTTGGTCTTAGACATCAGTTGTGATATAGTGAGAACAAGTATTATCATCTTGTTCTGGGGATAATTAGTTCTTGGACAATTATAAGCCATAAGAGACTCTAAAAGGATAGAAGAACTTGTCACCTACTTCTATCTTCCTAATCCGAATAATTGAACTAAATGCATTTTATTGTTAAGCATATGTTAGAGCTTTACTTAAGGCAATAGTCTTTTTTTTCCCCCTCTCTACTCCTTTGGTAGTTAGTTATAAGTGGAAATGTTTGCCTTGTTGATTAAGGGTAGAAATATACTTTAGCAATCACAAGTGCTAATAGACTTTTTAGAACCTAAAGTAATTTTTCTAGGCTGATGACCTTTCTCCTTCTAAATATTGTTGATATTCTGGTATAAAATGGTTCTTCCAGTTCTGTTTATTTCATTCTGCATCAGTTCGTATAAGCTTTTCCCTGTCTTTTTGAAATCATCCATTTGCTCATTTTACAGCACACAAGTATTCATTTCATCACACTGATATACCACAACTTAGCCATTCCTCAATTGGAGACCATCCCCTTACTTTCCAGGTTTTTGCCACCACAGAAAGAGCTGCTAAAAATATTTTTGCACTTAGAGGACTCTGTTTTGGACTCTTTTTCCTCTTTATTTCTCCTCTTTTGCATTTAGGCCTACTAGACACAGTGGTATAGCTGAATCAAAGGACTTGCACTACATAGTAGCTATTTGTGCATTTTTCTAAATTGCTTTCCAGAATAGTTGTACCCATTCATGGGTACAACAATTCCTCCATATATGCATCTTTTCCCACAAGCCCTCCAACATTTATCATGTTTCTTTTTTTTTTTCATCTCTGCTACTCTGATGGGTATGAGATGGAATCTCAGAACTGTCAAATATTTTTTCACATGGCTGTAGATAGCCGGGGTTTCTTCCCTGGAGAACTGTCTGATCATATCCTTAGACTATTTATCACTTGGGGAATGGCAATTTTTCTTATAAATTTAAATAGTATAACCATAAAGGTTTTGACATGGGTTAGAAAAGATACATTTAAAACTTTTGCCTCTTGTCAGTAAACTTGCTTGGTTTTCCTGAGACTCTTTGACCTATTGTGTATGTATGTATGTATGTATGTATGTATGTATGTATGTATGTATGTGTGTGTGTGTGTGTGTATAAAATAAAATGCGTAGTCATTTCATCTGTGAAAATAATGGCCTTGTCCAAAATTCTACCTTGAGAAATATTCATATGTAACTCCTCCCACATAATGTTTAACCTTTCTTTTTTTTTTTAAACTTCTGTGATACTTTGAAAAGAAGACTGAATTTTACAGGTATGAAAATGGTATTTACATGAAACTAATTCTGATTTTGTAATTCACATACAAGTTCAACAACCAGATCCAAACCAGCCAAAGCCAGAAGGAGCACAGATGTTGGCAATGCGTGGGGAACAGCTGGGCGTGGTAACAAATTGGCCTCCGTCACTAGAAGCAGCATTACAACGATGGGGGACCATTTCACCAAAGGCCCCTTGCCTAACCACTATGGACACAAATGGAAAACCACTGTACATTCTTACTTATGGTAAGTAATTCTTCAATGCTGTTTTTACCATATTACATTATACTGGTTCTTCCATCCATGTAGACCTCCTCTGTCTTACCTTCCTTTTCCTGCCCTCTTAGATGTAGATATTTTCCCAAGGTTCTGTTCTTGGCCTTCATCTGCCTCTATATTCCTTCCATGAATAAGCTTATCCAGTTTTATGGCTTAAACTATCCCCTCTGAGGATAGTTAATTCAGACTTTCAGGACTCTGAGTTGTTTAACTTTAGCCTTGCCCTCTCTCCAGCTAGGTGGCACAGTAGATAGAATGCTGGGCTTGGAGTCAGGAAGAGCCAAGCTCCTGATATCAAATCTGGCCTCAGATACTTCCTAGATGTGTGACCTGGGACAAGTCACTTAACCTTGTTTATTTATTTATTTACTCACACATTTATTTATTTATTTACTTATTCATTCATTCATTCATTCCTTTATTTTTGGCTAGGCAGTGGGGTTAAGTGACTTGCCCAGGGTCACACATCTAGTAAGTGTTATGTGTCTGAGACTGGATTTGGACTCAGTTCCTCCTGAATTCAGGGCTGGTGCTCTATCCACTTTGCCACCTAGCTGCCCCTGTTTGCCTTATTTTCTCATTAGTCAAATGAGCTACAGAAAGAAATGACAAACCATTCCAGTATCTTTGACCATAAAATCCCAAATGGGGTCGCAAAGAGTCAGACACAACTGAAAAACAGCTTAACTCTCCTCAAACATCAAACATGGATTTCCATCTGTTTCATGTACATCTCTATCTGAAAGGCCTGTTGTTACCTTGAACTCAGCATGTCCAGAAACAAACTCACCGTTTCACTCTACCTAAAAATAGCTCATCCTGGTATCTTGGTGGTTTTTTTTTTTAACAGCATCACCATGCTTACAAACTGATTGCCTTGGAATCCTCTTTGACACATCTCTCTCCTTCACCCACTACATCCAATTAGTCCTTAGGTCTTGTCAATTCCACTCCCATAGGATCTCTCCCACTGGTCCTTTCCTTTCCTTTTCTGCTGTCAGCAGCCTAGTTCAGGCCTTCTTTGCTTCTTGCTTGGACCCTCTTGATAAAGCCTATATTAGTATATCTATCTGCAAACAGGCCTTCTTGATTCCCCATTAGCTAAAGTGATCTCTGCTACCTTTGCTCTTCCTAAGCACTTTCCAACTTTCTTGGGGAATTTTTCTCATATTATCTTGAATCATAGTAAATTACATACCTGGTTAGTTCATCTCTTCTATAGTATAAGTTCTTTAAGGATAATGACTGTGTCTTAGTCATGTTTGACTGTTCCACAGAAGGCAGTACTTTTCACATAGTATGCATTCATTAAATATTTATTGAAGGAATGAATGAATATTGCATTCTGAAAGTTATCCCATCACTTTCCTGTGCCCACTCAGGAGGCTGTTTTAAAAAAAGAAAAAGGCAAAACAGCAATTGCTTTTGACTTGTGATAGTCATTTTTCAGAGATGTTTCTTCTGGGGAAAGAAAAAGTCTGATCAACTATTTTTAAAAGTGATCATGTATGCGTCAGTTTTATAGTGAGTAAGAAACTACATCTTTGGCTGTTTATGAATGGTGCTCTCAGAGTCAGGAGAAGTTGCTACTGGTATCACTTAATAGAAATGTCAGCAGGTTGTTGATTTCATGCTAATTGCAGATTAGAAATTCTAATAAGGTGAGAGTTTTTTGCCTGATGTATAATTAACAACTCCTACCTGGAGATCAGTACAACTCTACTCTGAGTGCCCCCTGACCTCCTTTAACATGAAAACAGAGACAATATAATGGTCTCAAGGCTCAAACAAGTTCTGTTTGCCACCTGCCACGTACCTGGTGATAGGGAAGCTCGTTTTGTACTAAGCTCTTGACAAATTAATCCTTCACTACCTATATGAGGAATAAGTGAAAAAAATAATTCATTATATAAACACTCCAGTTTCATGAATGAGAACAATATACAATATTTTGTTATAGGAATTTATTGAAAAAAGTCTTCGTGAATTTTAATAGTTTCCCTGGATTAGTTGAGAATTAAACATTTTTTCTGTCTTGAAAGGCTTCCACCAAAAACACAGCTGATTTGAAGTTAAGAGAGTTGAGATAGTCCTTGTTGGGTGGGCCAAAACCGACAATACCAGGCCACACTGAAGAGACCTGGAGGTGCATTGCTTTTTTCTGAATTTAACCTTGTGGCAGTGAGTCATGGGACTGGGCTCCGTCAGGCTGTGTGCTTGAAACACATGATTTTGTTATCCCCTTCACCAATATTTGACTGCCTATATAGTATGCCAGGACCTAAATAAAGTGCTTAGCCTTAAGGCATATTCTTTAAGCCCTAACAAGGTTTAGGTTAAGAATCTGAACAGAAACATGAGAAAAAGTAAAAGATGTATGTTTAACAATCTGTAGAATGATGAAAAATTGGGTAGAATCCAAGTAAAGAAATTGGCAGGGGAACAAATGGGGGATGTGAGTTTAATGGGGTATTTGAGGCAGAAGAGGAAAATATTTTTTTATCTTATGCTTGTAAGTTTTGGTGGATATAGGAAGACCTGAGTGTGGATTCAGCCTCAGTCACTTACTATCAACATGATCCTCAGATGGGCAGCTAGGGGGTGCAGTGGATAGAGCACTGAGCCTAGAGTCAGGAAGACTCATCTTCATGAGTTCAAATCCAGCCTTACACACTTACTAGTTGTGTGACTCTGGGCAAGTCACTTACCCTTGTTTGCCTTAGTCCCTCATCTGTCAAAACAGCCAGGGAAGGAAATGGCAAACTACTCCAGTATCTTTGTCAAGAAAACCACAAGTAGGGTCATAAAGAGTCAGGCATGAATGAAACGCCACAGCAGCAGCAGTGATCCTCAGATAGTCACTTAATCTCTCTCAGGCACAGTTAAATAATAGCACCTACTTTACAAGGTTGTCTTGAGGACCACCTGAGATAATTTATGGAAAGCACTCCATAAATGTCAGTTTTTATGAGGGTAGAAGAATACACCTGGGAATGAAGTGAATAAACAAAGTAAGGTGGGGCAGGAAAGTAAAATGAGACAAGGGGGAATGATAAAGGAAGTGTGGTTGAATTAAACTTTTTCACAGGGAAAACAAGTCGTTGGACTTTTACTTTAGGTCTTAACCCAGAAAAGCTGAGGAAGTATGTTAGGTCATCACTGAGATTGCGTCTTCCTGTTGGACATGTTTGGTCATTATCACTGTATGTGTGTGGTGTGGCCCCAGGTTCACAAACTTGGTCCCCCTCATGACCTCTTCTGATCCTACTCTTGTGTTCCTCCAACAACAAATCGCAGGAATAAGGTTATAAGCAATCCCTGTTCTGGTACAACTGCCACCTCCAGAGTGGAAATAGGATTTGTCTCCTGCTCTCTATAAAGAGCATACAACTTTTCTTTTAGTATTTTTAAAGTATTTTCTTACTGTGTACTAAAGAGAAAAGCAGAATGGAACGATGATGAGGATGATGATGATGATGATGATGATGATGATGATGATGATGATGGTGATAGCCAACACTTATATAGCACTTTGGGGTTTACCAAGTGCTTTACAGATATTATTTGATCTTCACAATGACTCTGGGAAGTAGGTGATATTATTATCCCCATTTTATAAATGAAGAGCGTGAGGCAGTCAGAGCTGAAGCGACTTGTCCAATGTCACACAACTAATATGTGTCCAAGGCAGGATTTGAACTCAGATTGTCTGGCTTGAGGTCCCACACCTAATAGAAAGAGTCCTAGATTTGAAGTCACAAGGCCTGATTTTCAATGTCAGCTCTGTAAGTTACTGCCTTTGTGACCTTGGACAAGTCATTGAACCTCTTTAGCCCTCAGTTCCATTATCTGTAAAATAAGTGTGCAGTGTTGAATTAATGGAGTTGTGAGGTCCTTTTCAACTCAAAAAAACTTTATGATTTGCTGAAACATAATGAGAAGAGCTAATAAAAAAAGTCTTAAGGAAAATTACAAAACCTGTTACTTGGCATTTAATCCTGGTTTTCCTTGCACGTTTGTAGGAAACAAGATTTGGCCTATTCTCAGTGGCTCCTTTCTTCTTCTAATTTATCTCCTACTCTTCTAGATCTTGCTTTCAGTCATCTATCCTATTGAAAATTTATGCTCTCTAGCTGATAAATACATATTTGGCAATGCTATAGAAAGCTTATCTTTTCTAGAGTCCCCTTCCCCAACCCTCATTAAGCCCCTGACCTTGACTGGTGACTCCCGTTTCTAAGGTATCCTCAAGTTGAACCCTTTCATTCTCCATGATTTTGGCAAGAGCCACATGACTTCTCTTGGCATTTGGGATGAGGAAGAATTATGCTTCCTTAAGACTTCCATTTCAACTTGTCTTAGGCCTTTTCTTAGAAAGTTGAGTCTCTGATCCTCAGCATTAACTGCCTTTTGACTTTGAGAGCTTTGCTAGTTGGTTGGACATGGTTGCCTTGTTCAACTGGTACTATCACTATTATGAAATTGGCTTCTCTTCCTTATGGTCTTAGACTGCCATCTGCTCTCTCTCCTCCCTGCATGCCCTATGACCTCAGGACTTCAGGAATCTTTCACCCTTCTTTCTGTCGAGACTACCCATGCTCTAAATTTATGACTCTGTGATTGAACCCATGTGATCTGTATCCAGAATACTCTTATTTTCCATTTCAAGTCCTATTCTTCCATGAGGATCTCTCCTACCCACATTCCCACTTCAGGCCTTCTATGCACCCATCTCAAGGGTAAAAGTAGTAATAATAGATACAGCATGAGCCTGGTTAATAGTGGATTCCTCTCTAGTCCCAGTCTTTTTGCTCTATCTCTCTCTGAGTCTCATTGTACTGTAAGGTCCACCTCCTGGTAGTGGTTTTTACAAGAAAAAAACCATGCATACTTGACACTCAAGAGGTATGTAATATCAAACCTATTTCTCCTCCATTAAGGGCAGGATTTTCTACATACCGAACTAG